GGGAATTAGTTGTTAAGCAGAGTGATGGCATTTGGGAAAAAACTGTCCTTGTGTCTAGTTGTTCTGGTGTGCAGTGCTCTATAGCCTCGTTTTGAGGGTAGGAGTTGAAACAGTTGATGTCCAGGATGCGAGGGGTCTGTAAATATTTTCCCAGCCCTCTTTTTGACTCGTGCAGTATACGGGTCCTCCATGGAAGGCAGGTTGGTAGCCATGGTTTTTTCTGCACTTCTAATTCTCCTCTGAAGTCTCTGTCTCTCTTGTTGGGTTGCAGAACCAAACCAGACAGTTACGGAGGTGCAGATGACAGACTCAATAATTCCTCTGTAGAACTGGATCAGCAGCTCTCCATCTCTTCCCCCATCTTCCAGCATGCCAAGGCTTAGCGCCGGGGGGGGGAGGGAGACGGGGGGTGTCTCCGAACTTGGCAACTTTTTAAGACTCGGCTGAGGGAATTCTGGGAATTGAAGTCCACAGATCCTAAAATTTCCCAGGCCCCAGACCTTTGGGCTTAGTTAGTGCAACCTACAAGAGTTTGCCAAACTGCAGGAAAAACAGGCTTCTTGGGAGACAATAGTTCAGTTCTGCAGTTATTTCTGATACGTGCCAGCTGAATTCCCACTAACGGATAAATAAAATAATAAAAGAGGATAAAAGAGGAGCGAAAGGGGAGTGGAGTTTGCAGGAGTTCATTCCTGCATTCTTGCCAAGTTTTGCGGCATCTGAAAGATATCGTCCTGGCGGAATGGCAGCTTGAGTTTCCTCTTATGTTCAAAGCCATACGTAACCCACTTCTGTTGTAAGTCACGAGGGAAACTTCTAAACTATGGGTTTAATCCGCCCTGGCTGTGTCCAAGAAAAAGAGGCTTCACAAGACACACCAGGGGTGAAATGCTCCTGGTTCGGACTGGTTCGACTGAACCGGTAGCGATGGTGGTGCGAGGCTCTGCCCACTTGCCCAGTCATGGTTACTTCCTGGTTTTAACCAGGCAGTAACCTGTTTTTTACCCTCTGCGCACGCGCAGAAGGGTTTTGAAAGCGCAGAGGGTCCGTGCATGCATGTGACAGCGGATGCACTTCCGAACCGGTTGGGAGGGTAAGTAGATTTCAACCCTGGGACACACCCTTGCTTTGGCAGATTGTAGTCCTTGCAACAAATCACTTTATGTTGAATTTATGTTTATCGACAAAGAAATAAAGGAAGACTGGCATCGATCTATTTCAAGCTATTTAGCTCTCATCAGCTAGCCATACCCTTCTGGGATTCGAACCAGCGTAGGCAGGGTCTTCTGCATGAGCGGGTGGGTGGGGGGTTGGACTAGATGACCTACAAGGTCCCTTCCAACTCTGTTAATCTGAATCTAAGGGTATGGTTGGCTAGCTGATGAGAGCTAAATAGCTTGAAATAGATCTATACAAGTCTCCCTTTAATTTCTTTGTCGGAAAACATAAATTCAGCACAAAAAATAGTTTGCTGCAGAAGTGAGTGCCTGCGAAGGCCCCTGGATTGGGTGGAAGCAATATGCTCCATCCCATAATTGGGTAGACCAGGTTGCCCCGATAGACTGGTCTCCCCCCGGGGGGGGGGGGACACTTAATAAATCACTTAGTTCTCTAAGCTTGTGGTACCCCCTGCTGGATATTTAAGGAAAAATCCTCAATCCTCTTAAACGGAGTGGTCTCAGTCACCTCTGCTGAGCCATAACACTCCTCTAATCTGTCCCAGATCTTCTTAAAACCAATTTCTGGGTCTTTTATGCCTTCTCTGTGGGGGCACCTACCCTCTGGAATCAGCTGCCCCCAGAGATAAGGAGAATCCAAGACCTCAGTGCCTTCCGCCGTGCCCTTAAAACCCACTTTTTCCAGCAAGCCGGGCTGGCTTAGGAAGAAATTTTTTTAAATGTTTAAATGTTTAATTGGTTTGTGGTTTTTTTAAATTTTGGGCCAAATTTATATAGATTTTAATTGTTTTTAATATTTGTATTTCATGTTTTTAATTCTGGCTGTGCACCGCCCTGAGTCCTCAGGGAGAAGGGCGGTATATAAATTGAAAATAAAATAAAATAAAATAAATAAAATATTCCTGATCCTCCTGGTGTACTTGGCAAACTCTCACTCAAAACGTACATCTATAGATTGGATGAAACCTGGCTTAATAGCAGTGACTGGGAGAGGGATCTTGGAGTCTTAGTGGACAACCAGTTAAATAATGAGCTAGCCGTGTGCAGCGCCAACCCAAAAAGCCAATGCCATCCTAAATTGCATTAACCGAGGGATACAATCAAGATCAAGGGAGGTACTAATATCACTCTATAAAGCCCGAGTAAGACCACACCTAGAGTCCTGCATCCAGTTTTGGTCACACTATAAAAAAGATGTGGAGACTCTAGAAAGAGTGCAGAGAAGAGCAACCAGGATGATGAGGGAATTGGAGGCTAAAACATATGAAGAATGGTTGCAGGAACTGGACATGGCTACTCTACTGAAGAGAAGGACCAGGGGAGACAGGATAGCATCTTCCAATATTTGAGGGGCTGCCACAGAGAGGAAGGGGTGAAGCTATTCTCCAAAGCACCTGAAGGCCAGACAAGGAATAATGGATGGAAACTGAACAAGGAGAGATTCAACCTGGAAATAGGGAGACATTTTCTGACAATGAAAGCAATCAACCCATGGAACAGAAGTTGCCTTCGGAAGTTGTGGGAGCTTCATCACTGAAGACTTGGACTGCCATTTGTCAGAAATGGTGTAGGGTCTCCTGCTTGGGCGGGGGCGGGGGTTGGACTAGATGACCTACAAGGTCCCTTCCAACTCTTGTTAATCTGTAATAAGACACTCTCCTCGGTTCATGATAGGTTGAGAAGACCCCTTATTGCATTATGGAAGAAAGCTCTGTAAACTTTCTGGCCGGATCGCCAACCTTCCAAAGTCCTTTGGGTGATCAGCTCATAACTAGCAAGGAACTTGGCTAAGTCGATAATGGCTTGATTTGCGGGCGGGGATTGTGGTGGTGGTGCACTACTGTAATCTGAGCGTGTGGCATGCGATCACGCCTGTCAGGCGGTTCTGCTTTTAGGCCAGCCTGTGTCACACCCGTTGAGGAGTGGAGGGAGTACCTTGGCGCTGGACCTCAAGATCTGCAGGTGTGTAGAGAAGTGGGGACGCGGTGGCTCAGTGGCTAAGATGCTGAGCTTGTCGATTGAAAGGTCAGCGGTTCGAATCCCGAGTGCCGCATAACGGGGTGAGCTCCCGTGACTTCTCCCAGCTTCTGCCAACCTAGCAGTTCGAAAGCACGTAAAAAAAAAAAATGCAAGTAGAAAAAATAGGGACCACCTTTGGTGGGAAGGGAACAGCGTTCCGTGCGACTTTGGCGTTGAGTCCACATGACCATGGATCTGTCTTCGGACAGCGCTGGCTCTTCGGCTTTGAAACGGAGATGTGCACCGCCCCCTAGAGTCGGGAACGACTAGCACATATATGCGAGGGGAACCTTTTTACCTTTAGAGAAGTGAGTGTCCTCTGCTTCACATGAGTGGGATTATTTCCTTCTTGTAACACTGAGTGGCTTCGTATTGGTTAGAATTCTCGTCTGCCGCACCGAGGTCCTTGTGTCTGGTGTGCGCATTCCGATGTTGGCATTTGGAAAAATTTGTCCAAGTTTCAAGTCACTTTTTGGTGTGTGTTTTTGTACATTGCAAACATAGGGAAGGGATGTATGTTTGTCGGGGACCACCGTTTCTCTAAGTGAGGGGGGGGCTTGCTTTTTAAAGGAAGGGGTGGTGTGAACTTCACCCCTGCAGGGGTTGGACTAGATGACCTACAAGGTCCCTTCCAACTCTCATTAAATCTGAATCTAAGAAGTGGTCATCTTGCTCTATGCTTTAACGGCGTGTGACATCAACCCCACCCCCACGCTCCCGAGGTCCAGATGGCCATGTTTGCTCCTCCTAACCCTCCGTTTGCCCCCTTTTGTCTGTCCTGAAGCCCACCTCCCCAAATCTATTAGCAAAGGAAGCGGGAAGAGGGGCGATTTGATCTCGTAACCTTCCCGAATCCCAACAACAATCCTTGGTCCTGCGTTTCTTGTTTTATCCACTGGCAACAGGAAAGAAGCGAGAGGGACAGGGTGAGGTTTGGGGAAGCATCACAAAAGTGAGCTCCCTCTCTCTCTCCTCCCTCCCACCCCAAATTTTTCCAAATTAATTCCCAGGAGGCAACAAACCATAATTCCCAGCCTGTCGTTCCGTGCCAGGGAGAGGATTTGAGGCTTTTCCAATCTGGGCAAGATCCTGGTTTATTCATCCCTGAAAAGTCTTGCAAAGGAATCTTTGTTAGATGTAATAGTAGTATGTAATAGTTTCGCTTTCTCTTTGTCTCTCCTCTTTTTCACTCTGTCTCTTTCTCTCTCAATCCCATTCGCTCTCTCTCTTTTCTCTCTCTTTCTGTCCTCTCTCTTTTTTTTTTCCTTTCTCTGTCTGTCTCTTTTTCTCTGTCTCTCTCTCTCTGTCTCATTCTCTTCCAGTCCCATTTTTTTCTTTCTCTCATTCTCTTTTTGTCCTCTCTTTTTCTTTCTCTTTGTCTGTCTTTTTCTGTCTCTGTCTCATTCTCTTCCAATCCCATTTTCTCTCTCTCTTTTTCTGTCCTCTCTCCTCTTTTTCTCTTTCTCTGTCTGTCTTTTTTTCTCTGTCTCTTATTCTCTTCCAATCCCATTCTCTCTCTCTCTCTCTCTCATTCTCTCACTTTGTCCTCTTTCCTTTTTCTTTCTTTTTTCTCTCTCTCTGTTCCAATCCCTTTTCATCTCTCTCTCTCTCTCGCCTCTCTCGCCTCTCTTTTTCTCTTCTGTGTTTGTCTTTTTCTCTGTCTCTCTCTGTCTTTCTCTTCCAATCCTTTCTCTCTCTTTTCTCTCTCTGTCCTCTTTTTCTTTTCTGTCTGTCTCTTTTTCTCTGTCTCTCTGTCTCATTCTCTTCCAATCCCATTTTCTCTCTCTCTCCTCTCTTTTTCTCTCTCTTTCTCTGTCTGTCTTTTTCTCTGTCTCTGTCTGTCTCATTCTCTTTCAATCCCATTTTCTTTCTCTTTCTCAATCCCATTCTCTCTCTCTCTCTCTCTCTCTCTCTCTCTCTCTCTCTCTCTCTCCACCCCCCCATCCGTCCCTTATATCTTACCCATTTTGCATTCTCTTTCTCTCCCCCACCCCCAGTATTGCTTGCTGGAGACTTTTTGACTTCCTCCATTTATCGGTATCGCTTTACCACATGCGTCTTTATTTTATTTTTTTATTTATTTATTTTTTTAAAAAAATAATAAAAGCTGTTCAAGCGAGGGTGATGGGGGCATCTGAAGCCAGAAAGGGGGGGCAGGAGGAGGCATTTCAAACCTGTGCGGGGATGGGGTGTTGAATTCTCCCCAACCCCCAACCCCGTTTCCAAAGGGAGGGAGCTATTCAGCAGCCCACCAAACTGGAAGTAATTCTTTTTTTTCTTTCTTTCCTTTTTTTCTTTCTTTTTTTTTTTTTTTACTTCTTGCCTTCGCCCCTTGTCCTTTCCTGTTTCATTCAGGCCTTGACAAATGGCTGGAGAGCAGCAAAAAAAACCCCCCTCCTCGCCTGTCCCTCCACCCCACTCCCCACCTCTCCTTTCAAGTCCCCTTCCTCTTGATTGACTCAAGACCTCCTGGGAGGGGGGGGGGAGGGACGATGGAGGCCTTGGGGTCACCACCTCCCGTTTCTTCAAAGGCCCTGCGGCTGCACACAGCTGCCTGCCCTGGAAGGGGTTAGCAGCCGAGAGAAATACAAAACAGAGGGGAGGCCCAACCGGCTAGCTATCTCCTCACCCAGTTTATTCCAGTTCGAACTGACGTCGGCCAGTTCCCGGCTGATCAGCAGGGAAGGGTGATGGATGGACAGAGGGGAGGGGGCTGCCCTTGGCCCCACCACACAACTTCCTCCCGAAGCCTTTTCAGGTGGGGGGTGGGGGTACCTGGGCATCTCTTGTGGTGACCTCCAGAGGTGGGAGCAAACTGCTGGAATGGGGGGCAGCAATCTTGTTTTGATGTATTTATTTAATAGTGCCGTACGTTTTATTATTTTACATATAATTCAAGGGGATGAATAGGTTTAACGCCCCTTCCTCCTCCTCCTCCTCCTCCACCTCCACCTCCTCCTCTTTTCCCCAAAACCCCAAGAGGTAGGTTGGGTTGAGAGAGAAGGACTGGCACAAAGTTACCCAGCCGGCTTTGATGCCTAAGGCAGGACTAGAACTCACTGTCTCCTGGTGATTGGCCCAAAGTCACCTAGCTGGCTTTCATGCCCAAAGATAGGACTAGAATTCACCGTCTCCTGGTGATTGGCCCAAAGTCACCTAGTTGGCTTTCATGCCTCAAGGCGGGACTAGAACTTCCAGTCTCCTGATGATTGGCCCAATGTCACCTAGCTGGCTTTCATGCCTAAAATAGGACTAGAATTCACCTCTCCTGGTGATTGGCCCAAAGTCACTAGCTGGCTTTCATCCCCCGAGGCAGGACTAGAACTCACCGTCTCCTGGCGATTGGCCCAAAGTCATCCAACTGGCTTTCATGCCCCAAGGCGGGACTAGAACTCACCGTCTCCTGGTGATTGGCCCAAGTCACCTAGCTGGCTTTCATCCCCAAGGCGGGACTAGAACTCACCATGATTTCGCTTGTCAGAAAGTCGCAAAAGGGGATCTCGTGACCCCGGGACATCGCAACCGTCATCAATATGAGCCAATTGCCAAGCATCCGAATTTTGATCACATCACTAAGGTGAAAAGCAGTCCAAAGTCACTTTCTTCAGTGCTATTGCACCTTTGAGCAGTCACTAAATGAACCGTTGTAAATTAAGGACTATCTGCGTGTCTCTAAACTGCCCAGAATCATCCAGATAGGGAGAGGGGCGGTGCCTAGTTTTTTATTTATTTATTTAGTTTGTCAAACATGTACAAGATAACAAGTATAAATATAAATGTGGACACGAACAAAGGAAATGAGTACAAATAAATGGGGACAGTAGGACAGGGACGGTAGCAGTGGTAGGTTGCTCCCGGTTCGCCTCGGTTCGTGTGAACCAGGGGTAGCAGCGGAGGGAGGCTCCACCCACCTGCCCAGACATCATCAAAAACTCTCTGTGCAAGCGCAGAAGCACTACGCACTACTGATAGCGAACTGGTAGCGCCGGGATTTGAATCCTACTACTGGACAGTAGGCTCGCTGGTGTGCTTATGCACGCCCCCTTTACGGACCTCTTAGGAATGGGGTGAGTCCATAGTAGACAGTTTGAGGTTGAAGCTGTGGGAGTTTGAGGATGTAACAACGGAGTCAAGTAGAGATTCCAGGCGTTGACCACTCTGTTGCTGAAGGCAATCGAGTTTGGAGCGGTTTACCTTGAGTTTGTATCTATTGTTTGCCCGTGTATTATTGAGGTTGAAGCTGAAGTAGTCATTGACAGGTAGGACGTTGTAGCAGACAATTTTGTGTACTATAGGTCAGACCGTAGGCGGCGTAGTTCCAGGTTGTCCAAGCCCAAAATTTCAAGCCTGGTGGCATAAGGGATTCTATTGTGAGCAGAGGAGTGGAATAACTCTTCTCATGAAATACCTCTGGACCCGCTCAATTGTATTAATGTCCGATATACAGTGTGGATTCCAGGCAGACGAGCTGTATTCGAGAATTGGTCTGGCAAAGGTTTTGTATGCCCTAGTTAGCAGTACAATGTTACCGGAGAAGAAGCTTCGCAAAATTAGATTAACAACTCTTATTGCCTTTTTGGCAATGCTGTTACAGTGAGCTCTGGGGCTTAGATCGTTTGAGATGAATACTCCTAGGTCCTTGACAACAGAGTGAGGGTCGTCTACGAGGTTGTATCCACCCAGCTTGTATTTGGTGTCTGATTTTTGTTGCCAATGTGTAAGACAGAGCATTTGTTAGTTGAGATTTGGAGTTGCCAATTGTGCAACCATTCTGACACATAGTCGAGGTCGCTTTGTAGGGCAGCAGCATTGTCAGTGGTGTTAAATAGTTTTAGGGAAGAGGACACAGCTGCTTGTAATATGATCGCAGAGGTCATTTATGTACAGCAGAAAGAGTGCGGGTCCTAAAACGCTGCCTTGAGGGACACCGCTGTTAACTGGTGCCGAGTTTGATAGGGCACTCCCTATTTTGACTACTTGTTGCCTGTTTGGCAGGAACGCGGCTATCCACAGGGATCCAGAGATGCCGTAAGAGCTTAGTTTTAACAGTAGTTTGTCATGAACCACTGAATCAAAGGCTTTGCAGAAGTCTATATAAATTGTGTCTATTGCTTTACCCTGGGCAAGTTGTCTGGTCCAAATGTTTCTGCAGTGTAGGTGTTGTAGATTACCGGACGATTTTTTCCTGAAACCAAACTGTTCGTTAGAAAGCAGGTTGTTTGTCTCTAAGTGGAGGGTGATGGATTGGTTTAAAATTAATTTAATGACATTACAGGTGACGCAACACAGTAAGATTGGTCTGAAGTTTTCTACTAGGCTGGGGTCTCCCTTTTTGAAGATAGGTATGACCGTGGCTAATGACCATAGGTCAGGCAAGGAGCTGAAAGATACCTCATAGATTGTGCTTAGAGGTTCGGCTAACGCTGTTCTTAAACTCAGGGTCGTCCCATCCAGCTCTGTTACTGTTAGAAATGCCCAATTGATATGCAGGAGCACAGGAAGGATAGGGTGGTAGATCACTGATCACCGGAGATCTGAAGGAGGCGGTCCGGGTGGGATCCGGCGAGGAGAGCTTGCAGAAGGCCCCTGCTTCTCCAGCTCGTCACCCGCTTCTCCAACTTGTCCTCCCGCCGTTCGGACTCTCCTTCTGCTGTGCCTCGCGATGCGGCCTCAACCGTGTCCGCCCCACGTTCTCGGCGCGTCCGGCGTGGCGGTGGATAAAAATCCCGGCTCCGCACACTTCTGCGCGAAAAGCTTCGAGAGCGGCCGGGGCAGGGGGTGTGTGTCTTCTGCAAGGCGGGGGAGGGGGTCCCCTTTTCTCATATATACATACATATCAAGCCTGCAGAAATATTAAATTTGATTGGCAGGCAAATCAATCAATCCAAGCCAAGGAGCAGGAGTTGGGTTGGAGGGAGGAACCCTCTGATCCATCCTATCCCAAGGACCAGGGATCCCCCCCAGTCAGAAGCAAATCCTCAGCTATGCTTCTAAAGCTGGAGGGGGTGGGAGTGGGGACAGGAGGGAAGGCTGCCCTTCCAGGATCCCAAGGAGCAATTAATCCAGTCTCCCCTCCCCTCCCCTCCCCCCCTCCCCTTTTTCCCTGTTGATTTGTGGAGTGGCTGATGCCCTTTCATTATTGCACTGCTAGAGGTGATGCTGGACAGGAGCGCAACAAAGAAAGAGTAGCAGACTGCCCCAAAGCATGCTTTTGCCACTCCCAACACACACACACACACACACACAATCTCACAGAGCACTGCTGGCTGAGCACAGAGCTGGAGGGGGGGGTGATGAGTGAGCCTGCACATGAGCCTATAAAGAATTCTAGTAGATAAAGAAAGAGGGAGGGAGGGAGGGAGAATGGAGAAAGGAATGAAAGAGAAGACATGAAGGAAGGGGAGAAAGGAAGGAAGGAAGGAAGGAAGGAAGGAAGGAAGGAAGGAAGGAAGGAAGGAAGGAAGGAAAGAAGCAGATGGGAATGAAAGTTCTAAGGTAGGTTAAATGAGGACCCAGTTTGTGGGGGCAATAAGCTGACTTTGTATAAATATACAAAAGGATGAAGGCTATTGCTTAACGCATTGTAAGCCGCCCTGAGTCTCCGGAGAAGGACGGCATATAAATCAAATAAAATAAATAAATAAATAAATAAATAAATAAATAAAAGCATTTGTGGTAAGCATACGTGTCACATAGGAAGCATTTCATGGTACTCTCGTCCTCTTCGAAAGCTTCTATACAGATGAAGAAAGAGCCTTGGTGGTGCAGCAGACTAAGTGCTGTTAAATAGCATCAGCTGCCTGCAATTACTGCAGGTTCGAATCTCACCAGGCTCAAGGTTGACTCAGCCTTCCATCCTTCCGAGGTAGGTAAAATGAGGACCCGGATTGTGGGGGCAATAAGCTGACTTTGTATAAAAAAAGAACACCGCTGGGGGGGGGGGGGCGGCGAAAGCCCTACTAAGCAGGTATATACAAAAGTATGAAGGCTATTGCTTAACACATTGTAAGCCCCCCTGAGTCTCCGGAGAAGGGCGGCATATAAATCGAACCAATAAGCATATGTAGGAGTAGCGTGGGTTCATCAGTAGAGAGATCTTTCTTTTTGGGTGGGGTTTTGGCAGTGTTTTTGGCTGGCATGGTAGGCTTGCTGTGAAGGCACTGGTGCAGCTACCGTGTTTCCCCGAAAATAAGACCCTGTCTTATATTTTTTTTGAACCCCGAAATAAGCACTCGGCTTATTTTCGGGGAGGTCTTATTATTTTGGGGTGCATGGAGGAAACCGGAGGAAATGGCGGGGGCCTGCTGTGCATGCTTTTAAATATTTTCAGGGAGGGCTTATTTTTGGGGGGGGGGCTTATTTTAGGGCATGCACTCAAAAGCCTGATTGGGCTTATTATCAGGGGATGTCTTATTATTGGGGAAACAGGGTAGTTAGGAAGGATTTTTTTTAGTTTGTTTATTTGTTTGTTTGCTTGTTTGTTTAAAACTGTGCAGCTGAGCACCTCTTATTTGCTGGATTAGTCTTTTTGGTCTTGGGGAGGTTGACCTCTCTTACTTGTGGCTAGCCCTAATTCCAGGTGACGATCACCATACGTGTCTCCCACCTATAATGCCGTAACATTACGGCAGAGAGAAGACAAGTATTTGCCCTGGTTGAAAGGGTGGGTGGGGCTGTGGCGGGCATGGGATGCAGAGGTTAATCCGAATTAGGGCGCGAAGAAAGGAGAAACCCTAGTACAGTCCCCTGCGTGAGCAGGGGGGATGGACTAGATGACCTCCAAGGTCCCATCCAGCTCTGTTACTGTTAGAAATGTCCAATTGATATGCAGGAGCGCAGGAAGGACGGGGGTGGTAGATCACTGATCACGGAGATCTGAAGGAGGCGGTCCGGGTGGGATCTGGCTGCGGAGCCGCCGAGCCGACGGCGAGGAGGGCTTGCAGAAGGCACTTGCAGAAGGCGCCTTGCTTCTCCAGCTCGTCACCCGCTTCTCCAAATCGTCCTCCCGCCGTTCGGACTCTCCTTCTGCTGTGCCTCGCGATGCGGCCTCAACCGTGTCCGCCCCACGTTCTCAGTGCGTCCGGCGTGGCGGTGGATAAAAATCCCGGCTCCGCACACCTCTGCGCGAAAAGCTTCGAGAGCGGCCGGGGCGGGGGTGTGTGTCTTCTGCAAGGCGGGGGAGGGGTCCCCTTTTCTCATATATACATACATATCGAGCCTGCAGAAATATTAAATTTGATTGGCAGGCAAATCAATCAATCCAAGCCAAGGAGCAGGAGTTGGGTTGGAGGGAGGAACCCTCTGATCCATCCTATCCCAAGGATCAGGGATCCCCCCCAGTCAGAAGCAAATCCTCAGCTATGCTTCTAAAGCTGGAGTGGGAGGGGGTGGGAGTGGGGACAGGAGGGAAGGCTGCCCTTCCAGGATTCCAAGGAGCAATTAATCCAGTCTCCCCTCCCCTCCCCTCCCCCCCCTCCCCTTTTTCCCTGTTGATTTGTGGAGTGGCTGATGCCCTTTCATTATTGCACTGCTAGAGGTGATGCTGGACAGGAGCGCAACAAAGAAAGAGTAGCAGACTGCCCCAAAGCATGCTTTTGCACACTCCCAACACACACACACACACACACACACAATCTCACAGAGCACTGCTGGCTGAGCACAGAGCTGTTGGGGGGGGGTGATGAGTGAGCCTGCACATGAGCCTATAAAGAATTCTAGTAGATAAAGAAAAAGAGGAGGGAGGGAGGGAGGAGAATGGAGAAAGGAATGAAAGAGAAGACATGAAGGAAGGGGAGAGAGGAAGGAAGGAAGGAAGGACGGAAGGAAGGAAGGAAAGAAAGAAGCAGATGGGAATGAAAGAGAAGACACGAAGGAAGGGGAGGGAGGAGAGAGAAGGAAGGAAGGAAGGAAGGAAGGAAGGAAGGAAGGAAGGAAGGAAAGAAAGAAGCAGATGGGAATGAAAGAGAAGACACGAAGGAAGGGGAGGGAGGAGAGAGGAAGGAAGGAAGGAAGGAAGGAAGGAAGGAAGGAAGGAAGGAAGATGGGAATGAAAGAGAAGACACAAAGGAAGAGGAGGGAGGAGAGAGGAAGGAAGGAAGGAAGGAAGGAAAAGAGAGAAAGGAATGAAAGAGAAGCCATGAAGGAAGGGGAGAGAAAAGAGAGGAAGGAAGGAAGGAAGGAAAGAAGGAAGGAAGGAGATGGGAATGAAAGAGAAGATACGAAGGAAGGGGAGGGAGGAGAGAGGAAGGAAGGAAGGAAAACAGAGAAAGGAATGAAAGAGAAGACACGAAGGAAGGAGAGGGAGGAGAGGAAGGAAGGAGATGGGAATGAAAGAGAAGACATGAAGGAAGGGGAGGGAGGAGAGAGGAAGGAAGAAGGAAGAAGGAAAACAGAAAGGCATGAAAGAAGACATGAAGGAAGGGGAGGGAGGAGAGGAAGGAAGGAAGGAAGGAAGGAAAAGAGAGAAAGGAATGAAAGAGAAGACATGAAGGAAGGGGGGAGGGAGGAGAGGAAGGAAGGAAGGAAGGAAAACAGAAAGGCATGAAAGAAGACATGAAGGAAGGGGAGGGAGGAGAGGAAGGAAGGAAGAAGGAAAACAGAGAAAGGAATGAAAGAGAAGACATGAAGGAAGGGGGGGGAGGAGGAAGGAAGGAAGGAAGGAAAACAGAGAAAGGAATGAAAGAGAAGACACGAAGGAGGGGAGGGAGGAGAGGAAGGAAGGAAGGAAAGAGAAGACATGAAGGAAGGGGAGGGAGGAGAGAGGAAGGAAGGAAAGAAAATAGACATGAAAGAAGACACGAAGGAAGGGGAGGAAGGAGAGAGGAAGGAAGGTTGAAGGGAAGAAAGGAAAGGAAGGGGAGAAAGAAAGAAAAGGAAAGAAAGAGAGAAAGAAAAGAAAGAGAGAGAGAGAGAGAGAGAGAGAGAGAAGGAAGGTGGGAGAGAGAGAAAGGAAAGGAAATCTCCTTTAAAACGAAACACTCTTAAGTCGCATGTACCTGTGAAATAAATACAAATAAATCTCAGGTCTCCTAACAAGGCTTGCCTTTTGAAACTGAAAACTTCCGCCTGCTTCTGCTGTCGCTGCTGCTTCTTTTTTTTTTAATAATTTGCTGAGATTTTAAAACAAACAAACTTCCCTTGGATCCGGCCCTTTTCCCCCCCAACCCCCTTCCTGGTCCCATCTTCTCCATTCTCGGCTGCCTGTTTGGGATGCTGGAACGAGACGCTTCTTTCGAAATGACATCTGCTCACCTTCATCTACTCCTGAGCGAGTCGCCACAGCCCTGGAACTCAACGGCTAGAAAATCTAACCCGAACACCCCCAAACACTCCTCTTCTTCAAAAGTCAGAAATGAAAGGAGAAAACTTAGAAAAGCTTGTAGCCTGCTCATTGACCAGGGTTCAGAGGGCAGCTTACTCCATTGTGCTCGGCTCTCCTCCAGCCCCCACTGCTTGGCCCCAGCCCCTCGCTGCAGCCCACCCCACTCCTTTCTTTTTCTTTCTTTCTTTCTGTTTCCCTCCCTCTCTCTCTGTCTCTCTCTCTGTTTCTCTCCCCATCCTTAGAAGCTCCTAATTTTTCTCCACTGCTTGCTTGCTTGCTTTTCTTTCTCTTTCTTTCTTTTTCCCTCTCTGTCTCTCTCTCTCTGTCTCTCTCTCTCTCTCTGTGTCCCTCTCCCCATCCTTAGAAGCTCCTAGTTTTTCTCCACTGCTTTTTTTCTCTTTTTTTCTTTCTTTCTTTTCTTTTTTCTTTCTTTCTTTCTTTTTCTTTCTTTCTCCCTCCCTCTCTGTTTCTCTCCCCATCCTTAGAAGCTCCTAATTTTTCTCCACTGCTTGCTTGCTTGC